GAGTTCATTTTCTAAAAGAATTTTTTTAGTATTTTTTTTATAATATTAGTGTTCATCAATGACTTCTAAAAAATTAAGAGGAAAATGCTCTAAAATTATATTGTTTTAATAAAATCAACACAATCTCATTCCTAGTTAAAAATATGTTGTTTTTGTTTTTTTCAATACAAGTTTATTAAAACAATTTAATTTTGTAGTGTTTCTCTTTTCTTTATTCATTCTTCAATTGATCATTGCATAACTTATTACTATGATATTTTGGTTTTATTATAATTGAAAAAACACATTTATTTCTAATTTTTACGAAGAATATATCAATGAAAAAGATCACAAGTAAATCTTTTTATAAAGGATAAGATTTAAAGAAAATAATTTACTATCATAAAAAATATTCTTAAAAACTCAAATCTTCAACCATAAATTTCACACCTCTAACCAAATTTCTTGATTTCGTTTCAGCTCTCCATCAATGATTTAATTATTTTTAAAACTCGAAAAGTTAAATCTATTGATAAATAAATGTCATTTTGTAAATCAAGTTTAGGGTTCAAATTTTAGAGTTAACATATAAAAAAATTAATTTTCTTAAATGTACTAAACCAATATAGGGGGTGCGTCTTTAAAATTATTTAACAAGAAATTAAAATAGAAGCACGCAAAAACTAGCCAAGAATAGCTGACTGTAAATAAAAAAAAAAATGATTAATTGTTTTTGTGGTCTATTAGTTCAAAAAAAATAATTTTTTAAAATGTATTTAGTTAATGGGAGGAGATTACACCTTTAAATTGTTCGGGAGTAATTAATATTAAAATAAGTGAATATTGATTTAGAGACACGCTCATAGTAAAGACAATATATATATATATATATTGATCAACAAAATAAAATAAAATGATAGCGATATGAAGTATACCCTTTCCAATGGACCTTCCAGAGTCGATGCAAGAATCTTCTTGGCCAAAAAATACCATGAATCGTCTCAATTTATTATAATTATTAGTGGATTCTCTTTCAAAGATTCAGGCTTTTATCACTGCGACAATTTTCATGCTGGGATGGGATTCCTCACATGCTATTGCTTAATTATAATGTCTTACGCGTGCATGTTTCATGCCGTTACACCCTTTCAACATTTGGGCTTTTAGTAAACGTAATTCTTATTGAAGGGCTTCAACCCTCAATTAATTTTAGAGAATTATATGTTAGATTAAATAATTAATTTTATAAAAGATAATTTGCTATCCTGGCACTGGCATTGGAGTTAGCCGCCATCATCAGGTGCGTTTGCATTACGACAAGTTACAATAGATAATTGCACGGCATGTTTCATATTGAACTTGATGTGAAACACCAGCCAAAATTCCCTTAATAAAAAATACAGAAGTCCTGCGGCCTTGTGTAATTAATCCTCCGATGGCGTGATATTTAATAAGCTCAATTTATATATATATATATATATATATTTTTAATTTTTAAGCTCAAAAAATTATGATGAAGGCACGATTTCTATTTGCCGCACGAACTCATATAAGTATATTTTTCTGGTAAGTTGTCATCCTGCTAATATTCCTATATTGCATTCTTTGCTTTTCTGAATTCCAAGGGACCAAGGAGTTTAATACATCATCATCATAACTAATAGTTGGGACCTACTGCTCTATGTTTTGATCATTTTCCATTCATAATGCTTGTGCTTTCTCAGGATCAGAAACAAACTCTAATTCAGGAAGTGATTATAGTCATGTTCAGAGCAAAATACTCAAGGAAAATCCTACATTGAGGATATAACAAAGATTTAGAGATTTGATTTCCCGATCATTACACTGCTTTATGGTATTGGATCCCAGATTTCGTTACCAGCCTGCCAATTATTGGTATTTTCACAAATTCTCTTAATCTAAACAAAGAAACTTGCAGCACAAACATTACTAAGATAAGAAAAGAATTCGGTAAATTGATTTTTTGACTGAACATTTTATCAGTTCCAGTTGACAAGGGAAAATTTTGGAGTAAAAAAGCATGCATTATGGTACTGAGAAAATATTTAAGTAGAACAGCAGAGCCATCTCTGGTTTAGTATAATCTAAGCGATTAAATATTTGAGTATTTAAATGAATTATTTGAATTAAGTTTGAGTTTTAACTGAGCCATCTCTCTAAATCGTCTGTTATTTTTTGCTCCGAATAAGTACGGCACAGGGCATCGCATGACATCATAGGAAAGAATCACGTAATATCTTGCGTCATTTTTCTCTAGAGTTTATTCAGCCTGAGAAGAAGTATGCACACACACACGCGCGCACGCACACACGCACACACACACACACATATATATATATATATATATACACACTTTGAATATTCTCAGATGGAATCATGGATGAGATAGAGCCATTTAGAATTAATTGGTCAGAAATCAGAGGAAGTCTGTTTTCACTATTTCAGCTTGAGGATTCTAGTTTCCTAATAAGTCCTGAAGTAAATTCTGCTAGGGAAGATTCTGATGTTGAATCTGATCAGCAGAGGGCTGCAACTGATAGATTGCCTTCATTTAGACGTCCAAGATTATCTTTATTTGGTAAAGATCATGAGAGGGAGGTGGTTGATGTTACTAAGCTTGGATCTCAAGAGCGGCATACATTTATAGAAAATCTCATCAAACACATTGAAAATGACAACCTTCAGTTGTTGAGGAAAATAAGAAATAGAATAGACAAGTAAGCATCTCTTCCCCTTCTGTTAATTTGTTTGTTGTTTCTCTACATGTGTGTTTATGACTTTATAGGTGAATGGGCATATGAGTGGGTATAGGCGGTTATGTTGATGGAGTAGTATGTTTATGTGTGGAGGCTTCATGTAAAAATAAGCAGTCATTCATGTGTTTACAAAATTTATAGACACAAGAAAAACTTGAATCTGAAAAAAGTACCAACTAGATGGATTATAAATCTCTGACTTTCTTTGCTTATATATTTTATTATTTATTGTTTTTTTTACTATATTAGCTTAAGGCTACAAAGTATCTTCGCAGTAACATAGAGAAAGTTCTTCACATTGCTTTTTGTAAACCCTACATATTATGGATTTATGAGTAGGATTAGTATGTAAACCAGACCCTTCATTTGCATCTTATATATTATTTTTTTTAATAATCAATATTCTCTATAATTTTTATTCTCCGTTAACACTTTTAATAATTTAAAACTCGTAAAAAATTTTAAATTACCAACAAAATTAAGGTGCAAATAAGAAGTTTGATTAAGGAGAAGATCTACTAACACCGTATTTCCTTTTTTCTATTGGTGCAACTCCCCTAACACATGTGTCCAAGAAATTCCCAAGAGCTAGATTTTACATTGCAGTTCTCAATTATTATTATAGCTTTTGGAACGCTTTCATAGTTTTAGGAATGCTTTCATAGTCTTCGAATGCATTCATTATTTCTATTTGCTATGACTTTTTGATGTTATGGGTTGAGTATCGGCCCCTTGTATTCCTATATATAATAAATTTTGATTCATCTAAAAAAAAAGGAGTTTGATTATTAATTTTTGTATTTTTTTATGGATTTTAAATTATAGAGAGTGTTGACTATGAATAAAAATTTTTAAGGGCATTGACTATGAGAAAAAAATAATGTGTAAGGTGTAAATAGAGGATTTAATTTAGTATATATATAAGTCTGAAAACTAATTACTATTAACAACTTGAGTTTTTGAGAGCTCATCTTAACCTAAAGAGTTGTTAGATTAGTGATGAATTTAAGCCTAGTTTGTTTCAATTAGTACTAGAATGGTCACTTTTTCTAAGTGTGGGATCATGTTGACCATCTCATTAGTCAACCTTCAACCCATTCTCACCGGCTCATATCACTTCACTTTTTTTCCATTAACATGCATTTAATCTCTTATCTTATTAAATTTGAAACTTTTAACTTTTAATTTCTCACTTTACACTATAAAGTCTTTAGCCAAAAACTTAAAAATTTGACGATTTTAACCCTTAGACCAATAAAATCCGTTAATTGTGTGCTAAAGTGAAAATAAAAAAATTTATAGATCAGTTCTCAAAGATTAAAAACGTGATAGCTTAGTCCCAAAAGTTTTTAAAAAATAAAAAATTTAGCTAACTAAAAAGAATTAATGAACGACTTTGCTACATTTTTTATATTGCTGTCACTAAACTATTTTTTCTTCCAAGATTTGCTTGAATATGTATCATCTAATATCTAGTCCACTCATGGTTGAACTTACAAATTCAATATTTGATTAATTTAAATTGGATCTGGCAGTGTTGGTGTAAAGTTGCCCACTCTTGAGGTAAGATACAAGAATTTAACTGTGGACGCAGAGTGCGCCGTTGTGCAGGGAAAACCCCTTCCAACTCTTTGGACTTCTTTCACTCAGTTCTTTTCTGTAAGTAACTCCATTTTTCCAAAATAAATTCTAGTGCTCATTGTTGGTTATGTTATATGCTTCACAAAATCTAGCCAAGTTATTGCAGTACGGTAGGATTTTGATTGCATGATAATGGACCAGATATTTCAACTGTCCATAAACTATTTCAACTGCAATTAATGCACTCAGTATTGGCTAAATGCCAAGCTTAGTCTTTAAACTTTTAATTTTGAATATTTTTTATCCTTAAACTATTTTTTACACTTTTTGGATCTTTAAATTGTAAAAAATGTACTTTTTTAGTCCATTCGCCGTTAATTAATCGTTTTAAGTCAATTTAAATATACATATTTTTAATTCTTAAACTTATAATATATGCACATTTTAGTTCATGAATATATCTTTAAAGACTAAAATGGGCAAATATGAATAAAATTAACCAACTAACGGATGGAAGAAATATTAAAGTACATTTTTCATAGCTTAAGGGCTAAAAGTGCAACAAATAGTTTAAGGGTAAAATGTTCAAAATTAAAAACTTGAGGACTAAATTTGTCAATTTACCCTGAATATATGATCCTAATGGAAGTTAATTGTTTTCAAGTCCGAATATCTTTCTTGATATTGTAGTGCACTGTTAGTGCTTATGAATTCATAACTTGTCCTTTATGGACCTTGTTTTCCAGGATGCTGCAAAGCTATTGGGTCTTAATTCACGTGAAGCCAACATAAGAATCATTAATAATGTCAGTGGCATCATAAAGCCTGGAAGGTACACTCATTATTATTATTATTATTATTATTTTTTTTGTGGAAAAAATGGAAATTATTTCTGCCATCTTTGCGTGTTCATGATGCTCTGTTTTGTTATTGTAGTCCCTTGACTTGCATTCAGTTCTACTTTTTGATTCTAACTTGATATTGTCCGCAACTGCATTTATTTCCATTTTTACCTTTTAGTGCATCCCCCTCCATTGAATCATTGTAGTTATAGCATCTCCTAATGAAAATTTCACCTGCTTTGTGTTATTTTTGTTACTGCTTCATGAATTCATTGAGAACCTGCACTATAAGTACTTTTTTTTTTTTTTCGGGTGAAATGTAAAATTTCTAACAAGAAACGAAGCAGCCATTGAGAAAATGGCTTCAACTGTAACAAAGAATAAGACTAATTACTGTACAACTGCCAACTATGAAGACTACCGGTATCTAGAGTCTAACTTTACATTCAAGCCCCCAGTTTGTATCTGTAGCTCTGTCCTTGGCAGAAGACCACAGCTTAGGAAAGCTAAGCATTGCCCAAACATAACAGGAAACATGTACTGAAGTATTAGTCTTAAATATGTTGTAGGATGACTCTACTGCTTGGTCCTCCTGGATGTGGAAAGACTTCTCTGTTGAAGGCTCTTGGAGGATATCTAGACCAGTCTCTTCAGGTTTGACACTTATCCCATTTGTAACTGTTTTTAATGAGGAGCTGAGTGTACGACTTGAAAATGAAATTGGCAGGGATCTTCAAACTGGTTTTTACATGTCCTACGTACTTGATTTCCAGTTGCTAATCCTACACTTTCTTTTTCCTTTCTCTATTACAACAGATCAGTGGGGAAGTTACCTTTAATGGTTACAAACTGGAGGAGTTTGTTCCCCAGAAAACTTCTGCATATATAAGCCAACATGATGTTCACATTGCTGAGACAACCGTGAGGGAGACCCTTGATTTTTCAGCTCGTTTCCAAGGTGTTGGAAGCAGAGCTGGTAAGTTGTATTTGTAAGTAAATGAACCATAATTTCATCCTGGTCGTCATCAAATGGATGGAAGTTTTGAAAACCCCTTTTTTTCTTTGTCTCTGAAGATATTATGATGGAGGTCATTCAGAGGGAGAAGGAAGCAGGAATTATTGCAGATACAGAGATTGATACCTACATGAAGGTATATATTTTTTTTCCCTATGTTATATGCTGGTCAGTATTGATGCAATGAAAAAATGTAAACTTTTAAAATATGAATAAATGTAAAAATGGCCAAATTTGAAAGTGCTAGTGAAAGTGTTAGGGACACACAAGCAGTTAAATATTGTCTTTTAAAAAATTGGCTTTGTTTAAATCGAAAACAACTAATAACTATAGCTTTTAGCTATAATTGATAAAACAACTAATATCTATTACCTAACATATTAAAATTAGTTTATATACTAATATTTCAAATGCCATAACTAATTTTTTACAGAAAAAATTAATGTTTGTGTGGCCCTAACACTTCAATGTGAGGCCATAACCACGCTAGCAAAAGTGGTGTGTCATGTTGTTCCTAATAGTGTTGCTAAGGCTGCTTTTTTTTTTTTTTTTTTTGACATTGGTTGTTGTGACTGTTTCTTGACAGGCAATATCTGTCAAAGGACTTGAAAGATCCCTTCAGACAGACTACATTTTAAAAGTAATTCTCTTCGACTTATTAGTGTAATTCATATGTGTACAAAATTTGAAGAAATGTTAAACTGTCTTTTGGCTTCTCAGATCCTTGGACTTGATATCTGTGCTGATACATTAGTTGGAAATGCCCTGAGAAGAGGTATCTCTGGTGGCCAAAAAAGGCGTTTGACTACTGGTACGCACGCTATTTGACCATGATGCAACAATGCATGCAGCATCATAGTGTAACATAATTGCATTTGTTGAAGTTTCAATTTTTGGGTATATTACCATTCATCTATTCTGACTCTGAACAAGAAATTCTTCCATTTAATAATGCAGGGGAGATGATTGTAGGTCCCACAAATGCTTTGTTTATGGATGAAATAACAAATGGATTAGACAGTTCAACGGCTTTTCAGATTGTTGTTTGTCTTCAGCAGCTAGCACACATCACAGACAGTACTGTGCTTGTTTCGCTTCTTCAGCCAGCACCAGAAACCTTTGATCTTTTTGATGACATAATTTTGATGGCGGAGGGAATGATTGTGTATCATGGTCCGCGCGACAAGATTCTGCAACATTTTGAGGAATGTGGGTTTAGGTGTCCTGAAAGGAAAGCAGTTGCTGATTTTGTCCAGGAGGCAAGTGCTTGTAGCTTCTAATCATTTCCTTGCTTGATATTCTAACTTTTCATTAGAATTTACATCTTTTTTGTGTTATTTCATTCTTTAATTTGCAGGTTCTTTCTAAAAAGGATCAAGAACAGTATTGGTACTGTACAGAACTACCCTATAGTTACGTTTCAGTGGATATGTTTGCTAGGAAATTCAAGAGATCTAGGCTTGGAATGACGCTTGTGGAGGATCTTTCTGTGCCATATGATAAATCTCTAAGCCATAAAAATGCCCTCTCCTTCAGGGTGTATTCTCTTTCCAAGTGGGAATTGTTCAGAGCTTGCATGTCAAGAGAGCTTCTTCTTATGAAGAGAAATTCTTTTATTTACATTTTTAAAACAATTCAGGTTATAATTCCCATCTCTGCATTGAGTGTATTCTCCCATGATTCTTCCTCCCTACTGCCCCCTTTCCTATGTTCTTTGCTTGAAAACTGTTAGTGATATTCCTATTAATATTAGTATGAAATTAAACTATTTCCATCGTAGTCACTATAAATCATGAAAACACCCTATCCTCTGTGTGCAGCTACTCATTGCTTCATTCATCACAATGACTGCATTTCTGCGGACTCGGATGGAGATTGATATTCTTCATGGGAATTACTACATGGGTTCTCTTTTCTTTTCTCTCCTTGTACTTGTATTTGATGCATTTCCAGAGTTGTCTATGACTGTTGCAAGACTTGAAGTGTTCTATAAGCAGAAAGAGTTGCAATTTTACCCAGCTTGGGCTTATGCCATTCCAGCAACTATCCTAAAAGTGCCTCTTTCTTTTGTGGAATCTTTTGTTTGGACATGTCTTACTTATTTTGTCATCGGTTACAGCCCTGAGGCTAGGAGGTGAGTTTCACATGTAAAGGAATTAGATGTTTAATTTGCCTATTTTTTGGTAATTAGACATCCTAATCTACCCTCCCCATGATTGCCTGTTGCATAAGCATCTAATGTGTTCATGAATTACATTTTAATGCTTTACCACAAATCCTTTGATATCTTTCATTTAGTCTTTCTATCCGAAATCAGGAAAAATCTTAGCTTATGTACGGCTTGCTGTAATTATCAATATTCATGACCTTACTCTTCATGGTGTTGGAATTCTGTATGTACAAGAAATCTTAGATTCTGACTGGACGTTGATATTCTGATGTGTCTTTAGGTTCTTCTTCCAGTTTATTCTACTTTTTGCCCTACACTTATCATCAACATCCATGTTCCGCTTCCTGGCCTCGGTCTTCCAGACTGTGAATGCTGCTATGACAGCTGGTAGTTTTGCGCTAGTGTTAAGCTTTCTATTTAGTGGCTTTGTCATCGCCAAATGTAAGTTTAAATGTCTTTTCTTTTTATTGATTTAGAAGTATCAACCACAGAATAACTTAATCTATGTTTTTGGTTGCAGCCTCCCTACCTATCTGGTTGAAGTGGGGGTTTTGGTTTTCTCCTGTGTCATATGGGGAGATAGGACTTTCAGTCAACGAATTTTTTGCTCCACGATGGCAAAAGGTGAGTCTCTAATATGTGGATGATTGATTACTGGTAGCTGTCTTTCAAACTTATTACCTCTTGATATCATGTAAGGTTTTTTATATACTTTTTCTTCTTGATATCATTGTTATCTCTGAAAGGGGTATAGCCTCACCATGATTTTCAATCAGGTGCTGACGACTCTCAGTGTTTTCTTTTCAAGTTTCCACCTGTCAACTGTGAAGATGTTTTCGTTCCCATTTCCATTTTTGCTTTTCAATAAGCTTTTAAAAGCAGGTTCATGCCATACCCACAGACTACTAGTTCAAAGCTGAAGCCGCAGGACTTCTAACTATTTCCTGTTTTCCATTTCATGAATCTTTAAGGAGTCAGTATACTCCTACTGCCATGTTATCAGTCTCTTGATTATCAGCTATTACATTTATAAATCAAAAGTTTTTGATAAAATTAATAATTAGTTAATAAAGAAACTGGCTCTGAAAGAAGAACATGGAGAAAGATATAGATAGGAAGGGATGGCAAGATAGAGGACAAGAGAAAGAGAGATTTTAGAGGGAAAAGGGATGGGAAAATGTGAGTATATCCAGATTACACAATTCTTATGCTCAATCATATGGACATATATCACATGATAATATTTTCTTATCATCTGCTCATGGTATTACCCTGTGTAATCTAACGAAAGTTCTGATTGAGTGCTGAATCTATGCTTGTTCTTGCTTCTAGGTCCTCCAGACGAACACTATAATAGGGAAACAGATACTGGAAAGCCGAGGACTAAACTTTCATGAATATATTTCCTGGATATCACTCATTGCCCTGTTTGGATTTGCTTTAGTGTTCAATATTGGCTTTATCTTGGCTTTAACTATTTTGAAGTGTATGTACTTATTTCTTTCTTTTGTCTTGAAATTTTTATTTTGATGGTAATGAAATTTAGATTTGAGGAGTAGTAGTTTAACTTATTGCTCATTTAATCCAACAATACACATGCAGCTCCAAGATCTTCTCATGCCATTATTTCACAAGAAAAGCTTTCCCGTATGCAAGGAAGAGAAGAAAGTGCAAGTAAGGAAGAAAAGTCTAGGAGTAACTGTCCAAAGATTAAAAAATCTAGCAAAGGTCGGTTCATGTTCTTTCTTATTGTTTTCATTATGCTCCCTACATTCCTTTCTGTGCATTATACATCTTTGCTCATTTACTTATCACTGTCCTTTTCTTAACCAACAGCTAGGTTGGTCCTACCTTTTCAACCCTTGACGGTGGTATTTGAGGATCTGCAGTATTTCGTCGACACCCCCTTGGTAATCAGTCATTTTGTTTGTTTCGAGGTTCAGCTTACTGCAACATGCTTTATAGCCATTTAATGTATGGTTCTCATTTCAACCATCATCTGCTTCCTTATGATGATAGGAAATGAGAGAAAGGGGGTTTGCTGAGAAAAAACTACAACTTCTCTCCAATATAACGGGTGTCCTCAGACCTGGTGTTCTTACAGCATTGATGGGTGTCAGTGGAGCAGGGAAAACAACCCTTCTGGATGTTCTTGCTGGAAGAAAAACAAGTGGTTACATTGAAGGGGAAATAAAAATTGGAGGCTATCCTAAGGTTCAAGATACTTTTGCTAGGATTTCTGGCTACTGTGAGCAAACTGATATACATTCCCCTCAACTCACTGTGGAAGAATCTGTCATTTTTTCGGCTTGGTTGCGTTTGGCTTCTGAAATTGACACAAAAACAAAAGCTGTAAGAACTCAACAATCTCATGTTCCAATTTTTTATTTATAAATTGCTGAGATAATCTGTGATGGAATTTACTTTAACATTTCTTGATAGGAATTTCTGAATGAAGTACTCGAGATCATTGAGCTTGATGAAATTAAGGATGAACTGGTTGGCATACCTGGGGTTAGTGGTCTATCAACTGAGCAGCGCAAGCGGCTTACAATAGCCGTGGAGCTTGTTGCCAACCCCTCAATAATCTTTGTGGATGAACCTACAACTGGCTTGGATGCACGGGCAGCAGCTATTGTCATGCGAGCAGTCAAGAATGTTGTTGACACAGGAAGAACCATTGTCTGCACAATTCACCAGCCAAGTATCCATATATTTGAAGCGTTTGATGAGGTGAAATGTCTGTTCTTCACATATTTGGATGAAAAGTTGATGCTAACTTCATTTAGAATTCATTTAACTGCTTCTAGGACAGTCTTGCACTCAATACCGTATGTAGGGTCAATTACTCAAGTTATTAGGAGATGTGCTCAAAAACTCACTCTGCACCACTCCCTCTAAAAATTGTCTTCTTTTTTATTTCCCTTATTTCTAGCACGCTGTAGCAGCTAACCAGAGAAAATTGGCAGCATTTTGTTAATCAATATTGCTACGAATTTTTTGTTCTCCAACCCAGATGCCAGCCCAAATAAATATGACAGTCCCGGAGCATTTACCTTCATCCAGAATTGATTTATCCATAAATAGAGAAAAATTTTGAAGCTATTTATTTTTCAGGTGCTGCTATAGCATGAATTGGGAAATTCTCAAGCAATTAAGTGACAAATTTCAAAAACAAGTCTTGGAGTTATGTTAAAATGTTTCTTTTATCAAAGATGAAATAATGCTTCAAGTAGAAAAGAGATAGAAAATAGTATTGCTCTCTTGATGCCCTTTATGTTCATTGTAGTTGATTCTTCTGAAAACTGGTGGGCATACAATATACTTTGGACCACTGGGACAGCATTCAAGCAAGGTTATTGAATATTTTGAGGTTAGTTTGTCAAAGATGTACTTGTACATTGTTGTGTTAAATTTTCGTAATCTCCTTTTCTTCTCCCTGCTACTTTCATGTCTTTTATCAATCTTATTTTACAAAACTGCTTTTATCAACAGGGTATCTCTGGTGTACCAAAGATTAGAAGTAATTATAACCCAGCTACCTGGATGTTAGAAATCACTTCTAAATCTGCTGAAGCTGAACTTGGTATAGATTTTGCCAAAATATACAAGGATTCTGCCTTATATCAGTGAGTGAAATTTCAATAATGTGATTGATGTTAACATGGAATAACTACTTTATAAATATTCTTACTAAGTTCAGAATCTGGCTAGTATACTGAATCTTGAATAGTCGCTTGGAGCTTTTATTTGCAACTGAAGCAACAGGAGTGGAGCTGTTGCCACTGCCTATTATTTGGCCAATTCCATGGTGCTATTAGGATCAGCTTTGGAGCTTGCTGGGATAGGTTCTAAACAAAAATATTTTATCTCCGTTTGCAGGATCAATCAAGAGCTCATAAGGGAGCTGAGTACTCCACCTCCTGATTCCAGAGATCTGCATTTTCCAACTCGCTTCACACAAAATAGTTGGGAACAATTCAAATCCTGCCTATGGAAACAACACTTGTCTTATTGGAGAAGTCCTTCTTACAACCTCACGCGCATCATGTTTACACTTGTGACATCTTTGCTTTTTGGTGTGCTCTTTTGGAACCAAGGACAGAACATGTGAGTATGTGCTCATTTTCTTTGTTTTTTAAGTCATTTAGGAATCAGATAAATTTATTGTACCTTGCTTCATGCACCTTCTTAAATACTACGAGTGTGCTTTCCATTAAGCTGTTTTAGAATTCTATATGGATCCTGCTGCAGCTCAAATGCTCAATAGTTCAGTTCGCTATAGATTCGTGAAGTGGCTTCCTACATGCTGCATCCCTTCTCTGCCTGGCAAGCCTCTCTAGCTTATAATCAGTGATATTACTCCATGACTGGGTAAACATGAGCCCTCGCAGGGAGCTCAAGAATAAAGTATTCCCCAATTTGATCAAATCATTTTTCAAAAAGTACTCTTACTATTAGAAATTTAGATTTTCCAGTCATGTTCCATTCTATGACAATATTTTGAAGGTAAATGGATAAATAGGCGTTTAATTTCCAGTACTTTTACACCATAGGGAGCTTATGACCATGTATGTTTGGCATGCTGTAGAGTAGGAGGAAGCTAAAAATGTGATATCTGATTTATGTGAGATATGATATTAAGCTTTCTGAATGACAGTACTTGTTCAGATATCTGATTCTTGTTTCCCTTAATTTCAGCAATAACCAGCAGAATTTATTCGATATAGTTGGTGCAATGTCAGTAGCAACAACCATGTTGGGTATAAATAACTGTCAAACAATTTTGCCTTACATTGCAACAGAGAGAACAGTCATGTACCGCGAGAGATTTGCAGGGATGTACTCTCCATGGCCTTATGCTGTTGCACAGGTAACGTTGGGTGAAGTTTTCTCAGTTGGGTTTTGATTAGGAGATATGATGAATCAAAGTATTCTTATTGCTGAACGTATAAAATACTTTCACCTGCAGGTGCTAGTTGAGGTTCCTTATCTGTTAGTCCAAAGTCTAGGGTTTCTGATCATTACATATCCAATGATCGGATATTATGGAAACTCTTACAAGCTTTTCTGGTATTTCTATGCCGTGTTCTGTACATTGTCATACTTTAACTACCTAGGAATGGCACTTGCATCATTGACACCAAACTTCTTGGTGGCTGGAATTCTAGCATCAGTCTTCTACACAATCCTTAATCTTTTCTCTGGATACATAATCCCTCAACGGGTAAGTAGTCTCTTAAAAACTATAATTGCAAGTTCTCTCTCAAGCAAATATTACAGACAGCATTTGTAGTAACCTTAATGATTGTGCAGCAAATTCCGGGATGGTGGATTTGGTTGTATTACCTGACTCCTACATCTTGGACGCTGAGGGGGATGCTTACCTCGCAATATGGTGATATTGATAAGCAAGTTGTGGTATTTGGGGAGACTAAAAATGTGGCTTCATTCATAAATGAGTATTTTGGGTTTCACCATGATCAGTTGGCAGCTACAGCAGCTATCCTCATAGCCTTCCCACTGGCACTTGCTCTTGTTTTTGGATATTGTATTGGACGATTGAATTTTCAACGGAGGTGAATTATCCTGTAGACTGTGCAGGAGCTCTTGCTGTCTTTTATTCACAATGTAATGGAAAATAGTGTCATGACGTTGAATAATCACGTCCTCCCCTCCGGGGAAAGATAACCTTATTCTCTTCTCTAATGTAACAAAAAAAACTTATAATTAACTATGAATAGGCAAGGCTATTGGCCAAAAGTCAAGTTTAGCACTCATTAAATAAAATTAATATTTTTAAATGTATCAATTAATCTATGTATTCAAGATAGATAGAATTACGAGTGAAAATTAGTGTAAGATTCCTTATTATAAATGAAAAAAATGTGTTAAAAAGTAATTATTTTGTGACCAGCCACTGGACTGATACAGTAGTAAAAAACTTATTAATACCCATTAGCAAATGCCAATCCTTGCTTTTAAGATAATGAAATATTAATTTACATTTTACAGTAAGTTTTATAAATGGATAATGATTGATTAATGTTTAAGAATATTAGAATTTAACAATTAATAAGTTATTTTAATTAATTAAAATTAAATTTTAGTTATAGATACGGGATTCCACAAAATTGCAAAATCAAAATTAAAAAAAAGAAAAAAGAAAAAAGAAAGAAAAGCCTAGGTAACATTTTATGGGTTCGGGGTTATTTTCTTTGAAACCCTTGTTTTGCAGGAATTGGATTATAAAATAGAGTCTATTAAATCTGAGATTGGAGAAGGCAGGGTCCACTCCCATGGTTAGTGTTATACCCTAAATCAAGTTCCATGAGAATCAAAACACGTGAAGACATTTTAGAAATAGTTTTACCAAAGTTGATTAAGATAAATCTCATTAGAATAATAATATCCCAAACATTAATTAAATAAAATTGTATTCCTAGAATAACTGTATTTAAGCATCTTATAAATACTTTTAGGATCAACTTAAAGAAGTAGATTATCTTCTATCATCATTCTCTCTTCATTATAAACTCTCTCTATCAATAAAGATCTTGGTTCCACACAATCTATTCTATTTTTTAGTGTTAACATTTGGTGCCTATCGTGGGGGCTCAGCACTTTCAGTCCACAAATACCACATGAAAAATTCAAAAAATTCATCACGACCTCGTAGACGTATTCCAATCTCCAAAAGCGAGGGCAAAATGAGTGACTCTTTGTCATCAAGAACAAACCCAAGAAATACTATTAATAAAACAAAACCATCAGATTCAACCATGGCATCACAAATACAGAAACTTACACAAGACATGGAGGAGACGAGGCAAAGTTTAAAAGCAATCGAGTGAGCCATAGCATCTATGACAAAAACTGCTAACACCTCATCGCAAGAAGTAAGGCGTGAGCGCTTGTCACAAAGCGATGCCAGGACATTAGAGGGGAAGGAGCAAGATCCAACACAGGAAAACAACAATCAAGATGAAAGTTACGTACCTTCAAAACCAACAAAATTGATGATCGAAACGAGTCTGCAACCATCCTCAGCTTTCACTCAATACAATTTTCGAAGCAAAAATGTGATACATCGCACACATTCAAGCCAAAGAAGGGACAGCTAGCAAGTCCATAAGGCTACATTTGCCGCAACAAAACCACAAAAGGTAGAAACACAGGTTCATGATAACAATATTGACAAAGAAATTGAAGCATTGTGACAACATCTAGCAAAAATAAAAGCAAGCAGGCAGAGGTACGCAGAACCAGCACACACAACTTCAGTAAAAAAAGCCTTTATGGACAAAATCATCAAGGAACCTGTGCCATCAAATTTCAAAACTCCGCAGCTAGCTGAACACAATGGAACTCAAGACCCAGTGGAACATGTGCAAGGATATAGAATGGCAATGATGGTATATGGAGCCTCGAATGCTCTATTATGTAAGCAATTTCCAGCAGCTTTTAGGAAAGCTGCGCAGGCTTGAGCTCCTCGAAAGACCAACCATTATCTCCTGACAATCAAACAGAAGACAAGAGAGTCACTAAGAGCCTACATAGTAAGATTTCATAATCAAGCTGTGCAGGAACAAATTAAAAACTTACTAGATAAGTTTCATATCTTTTTACAATATTTAAATATTTATTTTCATAAATTTATCAAATCTTGAAAGCACTAACAATTTTTTCATGTCTCTAAAGTAATTAAGATAGCAAAATCTATATAGCTTGTCTTTACTCTAAACTTGTGCAGTAGAGAATCTTAAGATGATATAATATGCAACCAAAAGCTACGCAAACGAAAGCTACAAGCAAGTTTGGGTGTACATTAAATACCAAGTAGAAGTTACACAAGTAAAAGCTGTGAGCAAGTTTGTGTGTACATTAAATACCCAAGCAAAAATTACACAAGCAAAAAGCTGTGAGCAAGTTTGGGTGTACATTAAATACCCAAGCAAAAGTTACACAAGCAAAAAGCTGTGAGCAAGTTTGGGTGTACATTAAATACCCAAGCAAAAGTTACACAAGCAAAAACTCTGACCAAGTTTGGGTGTATATAAATACCCAAACAAAAGTTACGTAAGCAAAAGCTGTGAGAAAGCTGCGAGCAAGTTTGGGCGTACATAAATACCCAGTAAAAGCTACACAAGCGAGGCTACAAAAGGTTAAACAAGAAGTACGAAAAGCTAAAGAAGGATACCTTGTGAACCTCCGCATCAATAGAATTACTCCTACTATGAATAGTTTTAGCAGAATCCTCTACGTCCCAAAAGCTACTCAATCTTTCCTTTACTTCAACTAGAGATCTACCTAGCTGAACATACGATGGACCTTAATCATAAACTTTCTCCAACTTTGGATCAACATAAGCCTCCACAGCAACATCTTGATGAGCTTGACGGCAAGATTGAAGTAACCCAAGCTACCAGAAAGAGCAAAGGCTCTACCCTTAGGAGACTTCTTAGAAGACTAAATAATAGAGGAAGACGAAGCTTGAAGAGAGGAAATCTGTGCCCTTAGATCCGAAATGGACCTCTCCAAAGCAGAATTCACAGAGGTTCAACAAATCCTTACTTCTCTCCCGCATCCTAAACAAATCAACAATAGCATGAGGAGCCAATTGGGGTAGACTAATGGAAAATCCATCACAGATTTTAAGGATAAAAGGATGCAAAAGAAAACGCAACCCGCATGCAAATTGAGCCTTGTAGACACACATATCAAAAAGAAGGCATTGAAATGCTGTGCATGCATGGGATACTGAGGAGGAAAAACCTACGGATCCATCAAGATTCTCTTTATAAATCTCATCCACATCACAACGATTGTTGACCCAAGACGCCTTGTCAAGATCACAAAAAACCTTTGCCGAGCCTAAAGGGAGAACAACCCTTCCACCGTTCGAAGAAGAAACCAAAGGAACCTTTAAGAATAGAAGGAATCACAAGATCCCTCTCCACATGGCGTGAAGCACCTTTCACATCAAACTTCCCATCTGCATTATGGGGAAGGCAAAAAACATAAAAAAACTTAGATAAAGAAGAAGAAGGTGGAGTACCCATGCCATCAGCAGAAGCCAAAATCGGCAAAAAGCCAAAAGCAAAAGGATCAGTAGCCATGGTAGGTGCAACCAACGCAACATGAAATCGGAAAGGGTCTACCTACAGAAAGAAGAAACCAAAAAAGCAAAAAGAAAGAACAAAAAGAAAAAATAAAGAAAGAAAACAAAAAGGAAATCGAAATGAAAAAGGAAGTCAAACAAAAAAGAAAAAGAAGAATCAGGAAACCCAAGAAAGCCCCATTTGAAAGACAAAAGGATAAATTGCATAAAATCCCAAGGAAATAGAAGTTTGAACTTGGAAGGACCTATCGTACTAGTAAACCCTATAATGGGGGCCACGTGCATAAAAAAAGGCTGCCAAGAAGTAAAAAATCTGAGAAATGCAATTGTGGAGATATGGAAAAATCAAGAAAGGACCTGAACAAATGAGCACAAAGCTACAGAACAATTAATTTCAACAATAATTTTTTAATGAGGAAACTGTGCTAAGAATCATGAAGGAAAAACCTGTGCTGCACTCGTTTTTCCTTAAGTTAGATTTTTTATCCCATGGGGTTTTTTTTTAGTTAAGGTTTTTAACGAGGCAGTCACAATTGAAAAAGTGGAAACTTGCGCAGAATTCAAAACCAAGATCAGCAGAACAATAAGCAAGACAAACACCTATTGAAGTTTTCACTACCCTCAAACTTCTTCATTGGAGGGGGGGGGAGGAATGTTATACCCTAAATCAAGACCCATGAAAATCAGGACACGTGAAGACATTCTAGAGATAATCTTATCAAAGTTTGTTAGGATAAATCTCACTAGAATAAAAATACCTCAAATACCACTTAAATAAAATTGTCTTCTTAGAATAACTATATTTAAGCATTCTATAAATACATTTAGGATCAACCTAAGAAGGTAGATTATTTTCTATCATCATTCTCTCTTCATTGTAAACTCTCTCTATCAATAAAGATTTTGGTTCTACACCATCTATTCTATTTTTTAGTATTAACGGTTAGCATTGTACAGCTGATACTTTCTCCTTTTCATGCTGTCTTTTGACTAAAATTTCTGTCTGGAGAGGCAGAAACAATGTGTAGTTAGATTTGCAGAGCCAAGAGCATGGCATGGATGCCCTCTTTTTATTTATTATTACCGATTATGGAGATGGGGCGGCTTCTCAACTTCAGTCTCAAGCTTCCGCCACGGAAAGCTTCATGCTTTAGCGGTGGGGCAAGGTGCACGTCTTGTTGAATTATTATTATAATGCCCAGATTCTTAAATTCTATTTCCCTCCCCAGGATCTTAACTTTTTAATACTCATGAACACTATGTCGTGTTTTGTGGGTAGATATTCAAAAAAGTGTTTTGCAGGTTATTTGTCTAAATTTTTTACGGAAGACATGTTTAAAATTTTATTTTTCAATTAATAATTTTAAAAACTAAATGTTTTATTGAATATTCTATTAACACATACTTATTTTTAAATTGTTTTAATAAATCTAATCATTTTGTTGATTATAAAAAATTTAATAGGTTAAAATATACATAGTTATTCTAAATTTATGTTTCAGATTATATATAGGTACCAGAAAAAAAAAAAAAACTGTTGTACTCCTGCCCCATGCATCTTTTGTAATTAAAAAGAAATGAAAACGTTTTGGACATTTAGCTATTAATCGGGGGATTTACCATTCTCTAAAATACTCTTGATTTGAGAATACTCATTACATGTTTACTAAGATCCAATATTTGTGTGAATGTACCATATAATATTGTATTAGAGGATTCTTAGCATGTTATCTATCTTTGAGGAATGCATGCTGAATTCGTAAGTACTTGTAGAGGAAACATCATCATGCCACTTCTTGAGCACGTACGTACTGTAGATTGGGAATGAACTGTTTGAGTTGACAGGGGAAGAATGTGGACTAGAAAAGATTGTTGAAGAATTTTCAAAATATTTACAGGATTTGGGTTCGAATTATAAAAAGTTGATTTAAAGCAATTGCGCAAAATGCATTTGAGAAAGTGTAACTTTGGTTCGAATCATAATTATATGATTCGAATCATTTACGGAAAATCAAAATCCGAAAAGTTACGATTTTGGTTCGAATCACATTTTTCTGATTCGAACCATTTACGTCAGAATAAGAGATAAAATTCAGATAAGTTTCTGAAGAGAGTGGATAACTTTGGAAGGCAATGAAACACGTCATTTGGAGTTCAAATTAAACTAAATGACTTTTGGAAGAGTTTCCAATGGCTAAAAATTGAAAAGAAGTGTTTGTTCCCAATAGACATCTTGAAAAGAAGTGTCTATTCCAACATACATCTTGCCCTATAAATATGGAGTTATCTCTTATTCTCTGGCAGAGTCTTTTTGAACCCAAAAATATCTAAATAAAATAGCCCCTTTTTTGTAATGTGATTGCTCGAGAAATCCCTATACAAAAACTATTGTTTTATCGCTTTCCAAAGGATGGTTCAGTGGTTGATCTTGCTAGTGCAAAGGCTAGATTAACAAGGCGCTTTATTGTATCCTATGGGCATTTCAAGTTACCCCTTTTGCATACTAGATTTGGTGGGGGCGAAATTAGCCTAAAGGAAAGTGGCATTTGTAGCACGCCTTGAAGCCAATGATCTAATGATCTATTTTCTAACCCCTTATTTCTCCAACAATCTTTAGGCTAAATTCCTGAGTTTTTTGAGATCATGGCTTACTGGATAATTGAGAAGAAACTTGCGCTTTAAAACACATGTGAAGCCAAGGAGATTTGGTGTGCAATAGTGACAAAAGGAAAAGGGATTTCTGGTGTGATTAACCCATCTACAAAAGTGGTGGTTTATTAAATTGATTATAGCAATTGTGTGACAAAGCAATCATGTAATCAAATTGTCAATGAGTGACGATGGATGAATCAACCACAGGATGCAAATAAAGTTTTTGAATTATAAGGTGATGATGATGCATGATATCAACGTAAAAGGAAAACAAAGTGCTGACAGATTGAAACTCAATACATGAGGAATAGGTACGCAGAATAAGTTTATGCTCTTGATTGCCATGAATTTTTTCATATGATTTTGTTTTGAAAACCTTCAACTGATGATCTTAGTATAAACTAAGAGAAAAGAGGCCAAGTAAAAAGGCTCTCAGTTTTGATAAGTCATGAAGGATTTTATCCTTGTTTAAATGCTATCTCTTAATGAGATCATTTGTAGAAACTAGTGCAACCTTGTGCACTTGACTGATTTTTGGAAGCCTGGAAAGGTGGTCCAAAAGATAAAGAAATATGGATTTAAAAAATCATATAAACAGCAAGAGTGAATAGCTCTTGGCCATGGAAAATGAATCTAATGATTTGAGTTGTTCCAAAATTTTTTGTTCAAATCACTCAAAGATGATTCGAACCAATTATGTAGGAAACTCAAAAAGTATCAAGAAGATTTGAAATATTTTTGACTGTCCTAATGTGCCTCTCATGAAGAATGTTAATGTCATAAAATTGACAAACAATATTTAAAATGGTGGGAACAATCCTAGGAGTGAGAGGAATAAGGACTAAAAGTCCTTGACACATGAAAAGCAAATAAAATTTAATTTGAAGTGGAGGAAGCAAGAATTCCACTTGTTCATGATATTACAAGATTATATAGCACTGTTTAAAAGTGACAACACTTGTTCCTGAGAAAAAGTGATAGCGCTTGTTCTTCGAGATGTTTACACTTTTCAAGAGTTCATATTATTTTAAGACATTCTTATATGAATGTGTATGATGACTAAAAATAATAGGATGTCATCAAGTGCTTATAAAGACATTTTTAAATAAGGTGATCATCATAATTTTTGCAAGGTCTTGTGTGAATTAACTTCATGAATCCTTGATTAAAAGGATTATCAAAAGAAAAATTCACAAGACAAAGAGAGGGATGGGTCTCAAGTCCATTGACAAAGTCACACATGATGGAATCTCGACTTAACGCTTGATAAAAACTTCAAGTCTTAAGTTCAATGAGTAAAGTACATCATATGAATGCAACTGCAAGTACTCAATTTATCAATAATACCATCCCAAGTGGAAGAGTACTTGGTAACCACATGAAACAAAAAGGAGGATGAGTTTTACTCTTAATAGGTCCTATAACAGATTTCTGTTGAAGTGCTTAATGTGGTGGCACTTTTGATGGGATCTACCTATATGAGTGGAAGTGGTGCCGCTTCTAGGAGTTGGAGACTTGACTCTAACAGCACTCATGAAAAGGATACAGGACACATGGCCAGTTTTTGTGTCGGTGGATGCTGAATTCCTTTTTTGGAAAGCTTGAAGTCTTGTGTGTGACATGTGCCCAATTAATCACTTAGAATCGCTGGTTCAAAGCATTAGTCTACCATGCAATTCTGATTAACTTTCCAACACATGTTCACTAAGTGAAAGGTTCAAATCGGAGATACCTTCATGTATGCATAAAATTTCAAAAATAATTGGTGGGCTATTCTATTTTGAAAATGGTGGGGGAATATTGAAGAATTTTCAAAATATTTATAGGATTTGGGTTCAAATCACAAAAAATTGATTTAAAGCAATTGCGCAAAATGCATTTGAAAAAGTGTAACTTTGGTTCGAATCATAATTATATGATTCGAATCATTTACGGAAAATCAAAATCCGAAAAGTTACGATTTTGGTTCGAACTACATTTTTCTGATTCGAACCATTTACGTCAGAATAAGAGATAAAATTCAGATAAGTTTCTAAAGAGAGTGGATAACTTTGGAAGGCAAGGAAACACGTCATCTGGAGTTCAAATTAAACCAAATGACTTTTGAAAGAGTTTCCAACGGCTAAAAATTGAAAAGAAGTGTTTGTTCCCAATAGACATCTTGAGAAGAAGTGTCTATTCCAACATACATCTTGCCCTATAAATATGAAGTTATCTCTTCTTCTCTGACAGAGTCTTTTTGAACCCAGAAATATCTAAATAAAATAGCCCCTTTTTTGTATTGTGATTGCTCGAGAAATCTCTATACAAAAACTATTGTTTTGTCGCTTTCCAAAAGATGGTTCAGCGGTTGATCTTGCTAGGGCAAAGGCTAGATTAACTAGGCGCTTCCTTGTATCCTATGCACATTTCGAGTTACCCCTTTTGCATATCAGATTTGGTGGGGGCGAAATTAGCCTAAAGGAAAGTGGCATTTGCAGCACACCTTGAAGCCAATGATCTAATGATCTATTTTCTAATCCCCTATTTCTCCAACAAAGATGAGGAGCATGCCGTTATCATGCCTAGAAAGAAGGAGGGTATGCCCTTATCATGCCACTTCTTGATGACGTCACATTGGGAACTAAACAAGTGCCTTAATCTTGAGCACCTGCTGCAGTTGTTTTTTCAGAAATGCCTGCATCAATTCTTTAATATGACTGAGTAAACATGTAAGCTGAGTGATGAAGTCAACTCTTGTTTATTGTAACCAAGTTCAAGTCAGTTATTAATGACAGTAATGATAGAAATGATGATGCCTTTCTTATTTCATTAATTTCTGTTTTTTTTTTCTTTTTATCAGCAAATTTCTGTAGTTGATAATGCAGAAACTACATAAATTGATGAGGTAAAATAATGCACCATGTCTATATATACGCATCCTTCCAGTATTCTATAGAAGTTGACAACTCTCTAGTTAACAATATGTCTTAGATGGTTGGCGCAGGTGACATATAGTCATTAAGAATTGACTTGTCACAGATTAGAGGGACTCAGAATTCATTGTTTCAGCTTGAAGATTTCAATGTCCAAAGCAATTCCGAACTGAGGTATGCAAAGGATGCTGCTGCTGTTGAGTATTTTCAGCAATGGTCTGCAATTGAGAGATTGCCCATCTTTGAAGGGCTAAGATCATCTTTGTTTGATAATGATAGAGGAAAGCAAGTGATTGATATCACCAAGCTTGGATCACTAGAGCGGCATATATTTGTAGAGAAGCTCATCAAACACATTCAAAATGATAACCTTCAGTCGTTGAGGAATATAAGAACTAGAATAGACAAGTAAGCTTCCATTCACCTTCTTTCAGTAGTGGATATATATGTAAATGGGTCTGCATGTACATCTTTTTGGTAAATATATTGTCTTTTCTCCTTTCTTTTCCCTTCTTTGGTACCCTTTTCGCCGGAATTGGTGAGTTCTTCTTATATTGCAAAAATCCCAACAGGGTAATTTCAGGTATACCTAGGTTCATATACTCATAAACTAGTACTCAAAATGTAAACAAAGTATTAAATCAAGCAGTCCTGAAATTTACTAACTGCAACACTTGTCTCACAATGCCAGAGAAGGGAGTAATTCTCTGTTGAAAGATTCTATAATTGCGTCCTGCCATAAGAGATAGATTGTTGCTTAACAGCAACTTGTGTAGCCTCTTTGCTTTCCTTCTTTGGTACCTTTTTTGCTAGTACTTTTTCTTTTTATTCTGTTGGTTGAATATATTTGTTGTCTTAGCTAGTATATTATGACAGTACTAATAAATTCAATATTTGAAATTTGATTAACATTAATTGGATCTTTGAGAGTTGGTGTACAGCCGCTCACGTGAAGCCAAGATAAGTATCATTAATGGTGCTAATAGCATCATAAAGCCTGGAAGGTATACTAGCAAGATAAATGTTTAAGTCAACTTAGCTCACTTTCTGTCCAGGGCAGTTGATGAGCAGGTGGCAAAGTCCACTTGCTTCTCTTGGATGGTGGTGCCGGCTTGAGGGTTCAAACGCCTACCTAGCCTTCCCCTTCTTCACCCTGTAAACCAAAAAAACTTAGCTCAATTTCCGGAAGAAGAAAAATGGATCATTTTTAACTAATTTATGCCCCTTTTTTTTATACTCATATGTAGGCTTCATGTGGTCCCTTACCTGCATCAATTCTTTCTGTTTGTTGTATTTGACCAAATTAACTGCCTATGTAAGCTTCACGTTACCAGGATTTAACAGGAAAAATGAGCTGAAATAGCCGTAGATCTGTTGCAAGATGATTCTACTGCTTGGTCCTCCTGATCTGGAAAGACCTCTCTGTTTTAATTTAGCAACAATTGTTGGTGATTAGCATACAATGAATTTTTGGTGTCCACCTACTAGAAAAAATGAATTCTTAGCAGCATGCTTGATTTTCATGTTGAGCTGCTTCTTTTGTGTAAAGACTTAAGAATTTATTCTTATAGAAAAGTATTTAATTCTTCCAATTGGTCCTAAAGTTTGAATTAGAAAAGAAATTTTAAGAAATTGAATGACAAGAATCTCAAACACAAGTCTCCAGAGTTTGTTAAATTATGTTTGTTACTGTTATCAAACAGAAACTATGCTACATGTAAACAGCATTTGATCTCCTGATGCTTTTTACTTTGATTGTAGCTGATACTTCTGAAACCTGGTGGACATGTAATATACTCTGGATCATTGGGAGAGAATTCAAGTAACGTTATTGAATATTTTGAGGTATGTTGGTCATAGAAGCACTGTGCCTTTTGTTTTTCTTCTCTTTCTAATCTGTTACTTGCTTGCCTTTGATAAATCTTCTTTTGTGAAACTGCTTTCATCAATAGGGTATATCTGGGGTACCAAAGATCAGAAAAAACCATAATCCCGCTTCTTGGATATTAGAAGTCACTTCTCCATCTACAGAAGCTGAACTCGGTGTAGATTTTGCTCAAATATACAAGGGTTCTGCTTTCTTTGAGTGAGTACATTTTCAGTAATTATGATGCTGATGGTATGAAAGTTGAATAATTTGGTTTATCTAATTTGATTTATCCCGATGTGAATAAAAACTTTATAAACTTTCTACTAAACTCCACAATATGGCTATTGTACCCAATGTTGAATCTGATTTTGCAATTGAAGCAATAGAAAGAGTTGGAATTTTCCAGCTGCCTATTTTGGTGAATTATATGGCACTATAGTGGTGGCAGCATAGTTGAGTATGCTGTGTTTGGGAATAAACATAAGTTTTTGCATTCTATTTGCAGGAGAAGTCAGGAGCTTGTGAGGCAGCTGAGTACCCCACCTCCTGGATCCATAGAGCTGAATTTTCCAACCTTGTTTGCACAAAATGGTTGGGAACAATTCAAATCTTGCCTTTGGAAACAAAACCTTTCTTATTGGAGAAATCCTTCTTACAACCTCACACGTATCACGCATGCCCTTGTGACCTCTTTGATTTTTGGAATACTCTTTCGGGGCCAAGGAAAGAAATTGTGAGTGTATATATGCTTATTTTCCTTTTGCTTTTAGTCCTTCAGGTGAAGTAGAATTGGCTTGGTTGGTAGATGTACTACCTCTCGTCCTGCAAGCCTTCTAGCTGGTGAATACAGTCCATGTATTTATTTGAGCTGGAAAATGTAGTTGCTTGGTTGAGCTTCTTTATTCTTCCAAGAGTAATGGTTACAAAATCGGACATTTTCATCTAGTGTATAATATAGATGGAAAATATTTCAACATGTGGACATTTAACATTCAGGATCACGTATGTTTGGCATGATGTAAAGTTGGAAACTGGAACATGATTATCTGTGTGAGATAGGTTTTCAGTCTGTAACTGAAATAATCTTTCAGATATCTGATTCTCTCTAATTTCCTTAATGTCAGAAATGATCAGCAGGATGTATTTAATGTGGTGGGTTCAGTGCATGCCAGTATGATCTTCATGGCTATAAACAACTGCCAAGCTGTCTTGCCCCATGTTGCAAGGGAGAGAAGTGTCATGTATCGTGAAAGATTTGCAGGGATGTACTCTGCTTGGGCTTATGCCTTTGCACTGGTACCGCTTCCTCGAGTTTTCCTTTTAACCTTATTAGGACATATCTTGGGTAAAAATTTGCTGAATTTGAATGCCTACTCGCAGGTGGTAGTTGAGGTTCCCTATATATTAGTCCAAAGTGTTGGGTATGTGATCGTCGCATATTCATTGATTGGTTATTATAGATCTGCTTATAAGGTTTTGTGGTACTTCTATGCCATCTTCTCTGCTTTGTTGTGCTACAACTACATGGGAATGGCTCTCATCTCTTTGACACCAAACTTCATAGTGGCTACCATATTTGCATCAATGTTCTTCAGACTCACAAATATCTTTTCTGGGCTTACAATCCCCCAGCCGGTAACCTACTGTCCTCCAGAAAGAAGAAACTCTTCTAATTTTGTTCTAAAGCATTCTAAACCTTCGTGTTTATCATTCTGCAGCAAATTCCACGGTGGTGGATTTGGTTGTATTATCTGGTTCCTACTTCTTGGACACTCAAGGGGTTGCTTGCTTCACAATATGGTGATATTCACCAGGAAATTGTTGCATTGGGGGAAAGGACAACAGTAGATTCATTCTTAAATGATCATTATGGGTTTAGGCGTTTAGCCATGATCAGTTAGGAACAACAGGGGTGATTCTCATAGCCTACCCCCTGGCATTTGCTTTCATTTTTGCATTTTTTGTTGGACGATTGAATTTTCTGGGAAGATGAACCAACTGCTTCTACTCTAAGCAATGCAGCTGCTGGTTTTTTGTCATTTATTTACAGAATAAAATCTGTTCAAGTTATCAACACATTTTCGAGGTCAGAAGTCAGAACCCCTCGCCTCCAACTCCAAGACTCCGTTTGATGAATGTTTCTTTAATTTTCCCCTTAAAAGTTAAAATACAACATTAGCTAGGATGCTCAACTCCAGGACCATTCAATCATTTACTGCAAACCGTATCTTTACAAAATAAGTAGTACACATCAGATGCAAAACACCGGCCATATTAGATTGGTCATCATGAAATATGGCTGTTGCTTGGTTTTGACTTTTAGAACCAAAACCAAGCACATAGCCACGGCTCTTGTTCATGCCTTTTCATTTGAAAGAGACTCACAGGTGAACCCCTCAAACACAAGCTTATTTATTATGTCCCTAAACTTGAAATAATCTTCTGGTTTGTTGTAAACTTGATATGATATTCGGGCATACCCTGTTACTGGACCAACTTCCCCATCCTTTGGTGCTCTGTAATAGATGGGAACTTCAACAGCAAACTTGTCCCTCAGATGTGTTCTCAGTTTCAGACAATCTTCACTGCTCCAAATCCCCAAACAAGCAGGCAAGCCAACCATGATCATACTAGAGCACATCTGTGGTGGACATCCAAGATGGGTTCCCCATGCCTTTGCCAACATCTCTCCCATCTCCACAACCCCTTGATGATTCCTCTTCTTGATTCCCTCAATACCACCTTCAAACCTATTGATAAACTCAACAGCCTTTGGAACCACCAACTGAGGACTGTAATCCCTATTCCCAATCCAAGCACTCTCTATAGCCAACCCATTTCCATACACATGGGACACCACCGGATGATGCAAATTACAACTACTTTCTACTGACCTCTTGCAATACAGGAACGCCACAGAAGGAGGGCAAAAGAACCACTTGTACAGATTACTAGTGTAAAAATCAGCTCCAATTTCCTTGACATCAACATCAACACAACCGATTCCATGAGCAGCATCCACAAAAACCTGGTCAACTCCCTCTTCCCTACAAATCTGAACCAGCTCCTTAACAGGAATCACAACACTAGGCATGGAAGAAACATGATCAATCACTGCAAACCTAATTCTCCTACCACCCGTTTTCCCTCTCTGTAGAGTCCTCCTGAATTCCTGCACTATCTCATCAGGTGAAGTAACCGGAAAAGGCAAGGGAACCTCAATAACATGCCCACCTGCTCGCGTGATGTGGGCTTCCATCGACTTCTTCACAGAACCATAAGCATAGTGAAGCATCACGGCTGCATCCCCTTTCTGAAACCTCCCTTCCGCGAATCCCCAAGCGATCTGCTGCAGAAAAATAGATGCAGCGGTGGTGGCGTTATCTACAATAGAGACCTCGTCGACGTGGTCGGCATTGATGAACTGTTTGATAAGGGTTCTAGACCGGAGGATGCCGGGCTGGAGGTGGTTGACATAGAAGTCATCGGGCTGGCAGAGGAACTGAAGCTGGATTTGTTTCTGGGCGGAGAGGACTGAAGCGGGGCAGGAGCCGAAGCTGCCGTTGTTGATGCGGGTGACGGAGGGGTCGTGGTGGGAGAACTCGGAGAGAATCTCGGCAGGGGTAATGGTGGAAAGAATTTTTGGCTTCTTGGCTATGTGGGAAGCAGGGTCAGCTGCGAATGTGCCGTTGGCGGTGGGCTGGGAGTCGAGAGAGGAGGCCATGGACGTGGATGTGGCGGAGGCGAAGAGGATGATGGTAAGGAGGGTGAGCAATGAAAAATGTTGCCTTTATTTATTTACAGACATTGAGAGTGGTGCCAAATCTGATGTTCTATAGCTGACATGGATAGTAAATTATCTAAATATCGTGCTTACCCCTTTTTGTTAAAAAAAATAAAAAATAAAAAGAAATTTTGAATTAAAATTATGTAATATACAAAATAAAATAAAAAAGGATTGTTTTTAATTATGCAATTAAAGTGAAAAGAAAAATATCTGACATGGATTAGGCGCATTCGTTCTTTAGAAAATCAAAGGAATCTAAGACTTTCAATATATTTTATTTTATTTATATAAATTATATTGAAGGAGATTTATGTATATAATTTGAAATTAGTCAACCAGCCCTTTTGATTTTACGATTTGTGCTTAACTCTTAGTATTTAACTAGGGTTAGGTGAAAATTTAAATCTTATTAATTACTTAAATATATATATATTTTTAGATAAGAGTAATAATTAGAAAGTTAGTGAATTAATTGTTAATAGTTGATCTTTAGATCGGGTGAACATTTCATCTTCTCAAATGAGGCGTACGATCATCGGGCCGTATTTTGGTGGAGTTTACGACGGTGGTAGAACTCGAAACTCCAACCACCATCTCACTCAAATACTAAGATTTGGGAGTGAATCATTGGGTCACAAGACCTCATTCTTAAATATTTATATTTGATTTACGAATGATTGGTATTTCTCTCAACTAATGGATTAAATTTATTCCCTTCCCTTTTCTCTTATAATTGTCTTTTTCAAAAAAAAAAAAGAAGATGTTTATTAGTTAGATTTGTAAAGAATTAAATAAAAAATATTTAAAGTTATATTATTTTAATAGAATATTATAACAAAAATTAAAATAAATTTTTTGCTTCTTTGAAGGCTAATGTTTTAGATTTTTTAAGACGATGAACTAATTAAGGTTCCCATTATATCCACTTACGCTGTAAGGTGGTTGCCAACGCATTTTCCCCTTCATATTAAAGAAATGTTGTCTCTAGCTCAAATAATCTCTTATTGGGTTATGGATATGATAATTTTTTGGCTAAATTTTTTTCAAATATAACTAATAAATATTTTTTTCATATAATTTATTGTCCTTTATATGTTAGAGGTTTAGCTGTTTAAATCAATGTCTTTAAATAAATGAATATTAACTTGTGCAAATTCTTATTAGTTATAAATTAATTATGAATATGTTATATGAGTGCAATAATTTTTTTTAGTTTAATATTTTTGTCAAAGAAAATTCAATTAAAAGGTCAATTTGTGCCAAAATTTCTTGACAAATACTTATTTTGTTATTAAAAAATGTAAAGATACTTAAAATCCCTCTCCACTCTCTTAAAATCTCAAGATAAAACTTTTACTTTTTCTTTTATTTCAAAGTCTTGAGACTTGACTAAAATATCAAATTTTAATTAAATTGTTGAGGGAGAAGCTGGTTATTGTATATTTGTATAACTGTAAATTAAATTTGAAAAACGATTGAAAAGTGTTAGGAAGAAGGGGAAAGGATTAACCAAAGAAATTAAGCCAAAATGGGAAATGAATCTATGGATGATGTGAATGTCCAACAATATAATTATGGTATCCAGCACAAAGTCCATGACTTTGAAAGGGACATCGAGCATACAAGTTGTAGATAATAGATAACTGAATGGGTGTAAGAAAGGAGGGTGATGTGAGGCCTTTTTGTGAGTGGTAGGCAGCGGAGGGTAGGGGTGGGCATTCAGGTGGGTAACCCGTCGGTTACTTGGTAATCGAACAAAAAAAATAAATTTGGTTTAGTTTTAATGATTTTTGGGTTTTATTATTTCAGTTTTGATATTAATCAAATAAATTTTGGTTTAGTTTTAGTTGAACCTTTCACAAATCAAAAACTAAAAATAAGTCTTATGAAAACCAAAATTTAGATAAATATGATAAAATATGAGATAAAATATAATTTATTATTAAAAAAATGATTAATATTTATTTAATAAAAACCAAAACTGAACCAATTTTATTGGTACCAAACAATCGATTTGTAAAAACTTCGGTTCGATTTTGATTTTCAAAATTGAAGAAAATTTTTTTTGGTTATTTTAAAACCGATTTCGATTTTAACCAAAACCTGTTGTTGCCCAACCTCAGGTAAGACTGGGTATTTAAAACCGAACCGAAAAATTATCCAAAAATCGAATTGAAAAAATGAATTTGGTTCGATTTCAATGGTTTTTGATTTTTATTTTTTTGATTTTGATGTTAATCGAATAAGTTTCCGTTCAATTTTGGTTGAGCCTTTTAAAAACCAAAAACCGAAATTAAGCCCCCTAAAAATCGAAAATAAAATAAATATGACAAAATATAATAAAATATGTGATAAAATATAATCTATTATTAGAATAATAATTGATTAATATTTATTTATCAAAAATCAAAATCAAACCAATTTTATTGGTAACCAAACCGATTAATTTTGTAAAAATTTCGATTCAATTTTGGTTCTCAAAATTGAAAAAAAAAATTGATTATTTTAAAATCGATTTCAATTTTACCCGAAATCGATTTTGCCCACCCCTACCCCCAGGGGAGGGGTCATTTGAATGCAACAAATTAAATAGGGTTAAATAGTTTTCGATTATTGCAAGTTTGGGCTTCGACTATTACTCTATTCCAAAAAATAAGCGTATTCCATCACATTAGTGATTAATGCATTGAATGTGTATAACTTGGACTATTACTATATTCTTAAAATAAAAGCATATTCCATCACATTAGTGATTAATGCATTGGGTGTCTGTGGCTTTTGAGCCTGCTCAAGGATCAAAACCAATCAAGCAAGAGTAGTCCATCCATATCTTCTCTGAGAATTAATGACTTAATGTGTATCTCATAAAATAATTACATAAGAAAAATAAAATTGAAGGATTTAATTTCTTTTTTCTCCCTTCTCCTCTCCTCTATTTCTCTCAGCTCAATTATAAAATAATTATTAGATAAGAATAAGTCTGTTAATATTGAAACTTTATTTTTCATCTTATATGATGATTAGTAACTCTTTTGTTTACTTCGATTTCTTACTTATTTTAGAACTATATAAAATTTAAAAGTTGTAAACAACTTTGTATTGTCCCTTCACCACTAAGTCATAATCTATTTTGCAATTCAACTTAATTAAACTTCACTGCCTCCTCAACGCAAGAACGTATTGTTCAAGGTGGATGAATACGGTTGTTAATAATTCACCTGTTATGTAAGGTTTGTTGGTCCATAACTGTATATATTCTTTACTTAAAAGAAGTTCATAGATTAACAAGGAATTATGAAGACGATTGATCCAGTTAGGCAAGTTGATTAATAACCTCCTAAATCTAAACCAATAAAATAAGAAGTGTCACACTCATACGGCAGCAATAGCGTATCATCTACCTAGCCTCAAAATTACGTGGAAATTTCCCTGCAACTTCTTTTGTCACAACACTTGGTGATGAAGACAAAAAGGTCCTTAGCTTTCCTCTCCTTGTAACAGATTTTATAAGGTCTCGTAGTTTCCTTCCTTCCCCCATTGGACACAACTGAATTCTTCACTCCCACTTCGAGGCTTGCCAGAAGCAGCAAAGAGGTTTGAATTGAACTAACATGTTGTTTCTTTATGCATGGATTCTTTTGCTTTTTTTTTTTTATAGATATATTGATATATTTTGTTGTAAAAGAACTTAAATTTTTGGTTTTTGGATATGGGGTTTGTGAATTAGTGTGTAATCTTTATTCTTTAGGAGTTCCATCCATGATCTTTTTCGAATTTTCAGTTTTTCCCATGGTTTTCCCCAATTTCTTTCTCTGTTGTCTTTGCTAACAGGAATTCCCTTTCCCTAATATGGAGCCAAAAAAACTTCTTCAAGTGGTTTTCTGTTTATGGACGTTTTCATGCTTACTTCTCCCTAGTCCCTCCACTGCTCTGCATAGAGTTGCTCTGAGGAAGCAGCGGCTGCACTTTGATGCTATTGAGGCTGCCAGAACTGCCAAAAGGGACCCAACTTGGGCTGCAGGAACCACGCCTACGCTTCATGGCCTGGAAAGTTCGGATGGAGAACTCGTTCCTCTTAAAAACTATTTGGATGCCCAGTACTTTGGAGAAATTGGTATTGGCTCACCACCTCAGAATTTCACTGTCATATTTGATACAGGCAGTTCTAATATCTGGGTTCCATCTTCAAAATGTTATTTATCTGTGAGTTTCTGCTTAATTATATTATAACTTTTTAATACTAAGCTAAAATTAGTAACAGGAGATAACGATAGTTATTTGCAGCTTGCCTGCTACTTTCACTCCAAGTACAAGTCAAGCCGATCCAGTACATATACAAAGATAGGTAAATGTCATTTATTTTATTTATTATTATTATTATTTTTTGTTTTAGACTTTCTTCATCCTGGATATGGTTGGATGTTAATTATTCATAGCAACCTACTTATTTGTATTTCCTGCAATACAAGTTAAACTACAAAGTTGTTGACTGTGATTCAGGAAAAACTTGTGAGATAAACTATGGATCTGGATCAATATCTGGTTTCTTTAGTCAGGATAATGTTGAGGTCGGGGGTCTTGTTGTCAAAGATCAAGTGGGTTTTCTGTTGCATTTTTCATTTTTAATTTGTACTTTAGTTTGCAGCAAATGCAAGTAACACTTGTTCTTCAGGTTTTCATAGAGGCTACCAAAGAAGGAAGTCTCAACTTCGTTTTGGCAAAGTTTGATGGGATCCTTGGGCTTGGGTTTCAAGAGATTTCTGTTGGGAATGCTACACCTGTATGGTATGTTTTCTTTAAACTTTAATTCTTCAATTTTAGTTTGTTGGATGTACTGATTCATGAAAATGGTACAGGTATAACATGGTGAGCCAAAACCTTGTAAGTGCACAAGTCTTCTCATTCTGGCTCAACAGAGATCCAGAGGCCCTAGAGGGAGGTGAAATTGTTTTTGGTGGTGCTGACCCAAAGCATTTCAAGGGAAAGCATACTTATGTTCCAGTTACTCGAAAAGGTTACTGGCAGGTGAATGAAATTGAAAAGATTGTTTTGAATAGACTGTCTTCCTCATATTCCTTCCACAAAAGGGATAAATCAATTCTCATTGTCGTTCGTTTGTTTTTCAGTTTGACATGGGAGATTTTCTAATTGGAAACCATTCAACAGGTGATCTCACAACACCTCGTCTTTCATCATAATTAGCCTTTTCTTTACAATGTGGTAAACATTATACTTTATCGCTGAAAAAAATAAGGTGTTCTTCTAAACTATCAAATATCACTACTTTCCAATTAATTTGTATCCACTTTCAATCAAAGAGACTGCAAGCTTCTATGTGTATGCATGTCTATCTAATTTGTCCAGTCAAGGTTGTCTGTTATGTATTACCTAACAATGTCAATGATGCTCTCTGATATTTGATCTGTTCTAGAAAACCAGCACTAGTTCAATGCCTTTAAGCTGTTGTAAAATGTCCTAACACATTCCTGAAAGTTGTTTATCAACATTCTTAGGTGTTTGTGAAGGAGGTTGTGCTGCCATTGTGGATTCAGGGACATCTCTTCTTGCTGGCCCAACGGTATGAGCTCTCATTCTGGAGAGACTTAATTTATTGGAAAATTACCTTCAGGTTTAATCAATCATCTAGTCTCTGTTAGTTAGTTCTTTAATATTACGGTATTATTCTTAGTGAGTTGCTACTATTAGTCTATTATCATCCACTGAGTAATACTGCTTATTGCCTTATTGGTCATAATTTCAGGCTGTTGTTGCTGAAATCAATCATGCTATTGGAGCTGAAGGGGTAGTTAGTGCTGAGTGTAAGGAAGTTGTTTATCAATACGGAGACCTGATTTGGGAGCTTTTGGTATCGGGGGTCTGTATATCTTCTGTTCCTTTTCCCTTTAAAATTTTTTTTTTAAATTAAATTTTTTTTATCTTTTCTGTTTCATTTTCAGTATGGATATCTATTTTCAATTAAGGAAAAATAAATCATGTGTGCAGGTACAACCTGGCAAAGTATGTTCTCAGATTGGGTTATGTACTCCATATGTGAGGTCAGGAGCTTAAGCTGTTTGACATATTCTACAGCATCATTATTTTCTTTTCACAATTTGCTTTACTTTGCATGCTGTTTATACAATGCTCCTAAAAATCTGTTGCAAGCAAGAACCACAACTAAAAAGGAAAAATACCAAAATTGCAGTTTCCTGAAACAAAATTCAATGTGTTTTCTTTGATATGCTTTTGGATGAGACTCTTTTAGAAACATATTTCAAAACACATGTTTCTACTTTTTGCATCAAGAGGCTTATGGGTGCTAATGAGTTTTCATAATGAACTTGAAGCTAGCTTAGGCGGCCTCTAACCTTTGCTTTCTCTGTAGCAGTAAAATTAAAACCGTGGTTGAGGATGAAAACATGGAGGGATTAGAAGCAGGGAACAGTGTATTATGCACTGTCTGTGAGATGACTGTTATTTGGATGCAGAATCAACTTAAACAAAAGCAGACAAAGGACAAAATTCTCAGCTATGTGAATGAGGTAATCATTCCTTTTCAAAGTCATGTGCATTATGGCAATATCCATGGGAAGCATATTGAGAATGGGTTTTGACCTCTGACAGCTATGTGAGAGCTTACCAAGTCCAATGGGAGAGTCAGCAATTGACTGTGATAAAATTCCAGGCATGCCAAATGTTACATTCACAATTGGGGACAAACCATTTAAACTTACTCCAGAGCAGGTTAGATATTCTCTATGTTATCAGTTTGATAAGTCATGGTAAAGCATCTTGAAGGTATTTTGGCTTCAAAAATTCTGAAACATCTTGGAATAAACCTCTGCTCATTCTGTAAATGCCATTTGCAGTACATTCTGAAAACTGGAGAAGGTGCTGCTAGAGTCTGTATTAGTGGATTTATGGCTCTGGATTTGCCTCCACCTAGAGGTCCTTTGTGGTAAGTAATTTCAACTTGGATTTTATTATCATGATTTCCCACATCCAACAAATATGGCTTCCCATGATATGAGTCATATATCCCTAGTTCTTTTGCACAGACTCTGATTTGTGATCAAATTAATTGCATGCAGGATTCTTGGAGACGTATTCATGGGGGTATATCACACTATTTTTGACTATGGCAATCTTGAAATAGGTTTTGCCGAGGCTGCCTAGTTAAGCTTGTGGGGATTACCTCTTGTTGGCATCATCAGTTCATTTTGTTGCTTCAAGCATCAAGGAGTCAATGGTTAATGGCGTTGTAAATTACCACTACCGCATCGCATTAGGTTTCTAGGTTTCCATGTAATGTGAGTTTGTACTAGGCTTCCAGTTCAATGTTGATGCCGTTATAGTGCATTAGGGAAGAGGTGTCAAACATTCTGTTTACTTTCTTAGCTCATGGAATGGAACAAATTATTAGGAAATCCAGAGCGATAACACAGTTCTGTTTGCATGAACGAGAAAAGGACAAATGCCAAAGCGAAAGCCAAAGAAAGGCTGACTGCTTAAAATCCCAACCATAATCGGCCTAAGCTTAATGATAATAATACAGTTCTTAAGTTTCCCTTAGTGGCATTTGGTCGAGCAAAGCACCCCCAGTTGTTGGAATTTTACCTCTTAAAGACTAAAAAGTAAATGCTTCAGCTGCTTCAATCGGGGGAACCTCTGTGTTTATCAATACCTTATAAAATGTTACACAGACCAAGAAAAGGAAGCCAAAAGATTATATGGTAATGTTAATGTCCAAAGTTGTAATGATATCCAACTTAGGTCTAAAGTTATAATTAACAATACAGGATATTTCAAATAATTAGAAGTTAGCAAACATTGTCCACGAAGACAAGGAATGGGAAAAAAACAATCATTACATGAGATACAATGCTGTCTCCCAACTATAAGGGGTGTTTTTCACTGTTCTTCATCACTATCATTTCCAAAAACAGATGCAACAGCAGCTTTTGGTTTCTTTGCAGCACTGCCAGATGCACCCTGCAAGATAATTGACAAGCACAACAATGAGAAGTTCATCAATGAAACTAATCATAATATACCTGTTAAAATGAAAAATTAAACAGAGCTGGTAATAGATTCATGAGGTAATGAGAAAGCTGCTAGAAACGAAGGATTAGAAAGTTATCAGGTATTTTAATGTGATGAAAAGGGTTGTGATATATATTATGTTGTTGCAAAAATGAGAAGATATAGGTAAAACCAGTAGATGAGATTCTCTGCATTCCATGAATGGTAGATTTTATGAGAACATGCTTGTCTAATGTTTTAGATTAGGATTCAAGTAGGCAGCTTTGTCTAATGTTAAATACTTCTCAAGTACAATTACACAAATTTGTTAAGCTTCGTTTTGTGTACCTTGGAGGTGATTCCTTTGGAAGAAAAACCAAACTTTAACGTCTTTCGTTGATCCTGATCAGCAAGCAGAGTAGCAGTTAAAGGACTAGATGCAGGAGCAGACCCAGACTCTTCACGTTGCTTCTGCTGCTGATGGGCACCAGCCCTATATGGAAGTAAGAAATGAACAAAAATATAAGGAAATGAAAAGGGTTACCAAAGATGATTAACATTCCTACAACATCCCCACTGAAAATGTAAAAGAGGAAAATGAAAGTGAAATTAAAATCATAAAGGCAAAAGAAAGAGCAATTAGCAGATTACATTTGGGCAAATTTGGCCATCTCCCTCTCTTGACGTTGCTGTTCTCGTCTTTGCCGATCATCACGGCTGCTGCTACCATGCATGTCTCTCATTTCTTTAAACCGCTGCAAGAATCACCAAATAGCAGACAATGAGGGAAAATGTATCATGAAAAATAAGTCAAGGAAGAAAGCACAGAACAAGAATAAAAAATGGGTCAATCACCTTCCTGTGGTTGTGATCATAAGAGCTCAAGTGGGCCTCAAATTCCATCGCCAACTTGTACTGCTTGTTGCAAAGATCACAATAGAACACCTTGCGTATTTCTTTCACCTCAGATTGAATTTTCTGCTCACGTTCTGCTAAAACCTGAATTTTCATAATGTGCACGAAGCAGGGAGTAGAAGCCACCAGGTAATAAAAACTGCATGAAATTGACAAGCGCTTCCAAGGTTGATGTTCTCCTATGATATACCATTTCCAATCAGAAGACACACATATATGCTATGTGCTGCCTTCTGCTATTGTAGGTCGGTTTCACAAAAAGTAAATCATCAACCTCATTTTATTATCTAACAACTTGTACAAAAAGTCATTGCCTAAAAGAATAACTTCATACCTCCCGCTTCTTCACTAGTTCTTCTGTCTCCTCAACCTCAACATCTAGTTTCTTACGCTGGATATTCTCTTCTGCAGTGAAGAAATCATCCTCTTCTTGTTTTCCTATCCCTAGCTTTGGGTCTCTAATCCCAGATTTTATAGGCTCAACCATTCCTGTCCATAAACCACAGTTGTTAATAAAAAGAAAAGAAACTTAACCTGTCATAGAGTACAACAGAGATGTAGGAGGATTTGTTCAAAAACACTGTCTTGTTATAGATCACAATAATGAAAGGATGCAATTTGGACTTAGGAATACCACAAAATTAAAAAATAAAATAAACAAAGGGAGAAAGGGGCAGTTGAACTTATTTCATTTGCAAATATATGCCCAAGTTTCCAACCATAGGACCCCTGGGAGTCCAGAAAGTGCACGTGCAACATCGCTATTTACATAAATGCTTGGATGAATATCCAGTATCTAATATATCTATTCTATCAAAACATTTAGCCTTCTAGACAGAGAAGGTAAGATTGGAAAATGATGGTAAAAGAAAATGCTCAAGGAAGCAGAAAGGGGAAATAATAAGAAGCTCATGAAGGACATACCCTGTTCATCCTTCCCAAGACCCTTTCCCTTCCACCCCATTTTCTGGAGAAGCCTAAACCCAACATTTGATGATGTCAACTTTGTATCTAGTGTTGCTTGTTCCACATTATCAAGATCAACGTTTTCTGTTGGCTTTTGATTAATAGGCAAGCGAAAATCGTCTGCCATATCCTCAATAAGTGATTCTTGATATGCCTACATACCATAAAATGCAGATAACCCAACTTAACATATCAATAAAACACAAAACAAAACTTCAATGGGATTTGCAATTTGATGCAGAATTAGTATGGAGATAAAAAAAAAAAAAAAAAAAAAGTATCTAAGATAAAGATCCATCATACAAGGTGTTTGATTGATTACCTGATCTTTCTCATGCTGCCCCATACCTCTACCATCGTACCATCTGTAGTCCATCTTGAATCCTAACACCTACAATACAAAGGGGGAAAAAATTGTGAATTTAGCAGTAAAATAAAAAGAAACCCATCTTCTTCCTTTACAAATAAAAACAATTTTGCAGAGGTAACATCATTTAGGGTTTCAATAAGAACTTCACAACTTAAAAAAAAATTTTTTTTACCGATTTTGGAATTGGGTTTAGGGAATTAGGGTCTCCTAAAACAGCTGGATATTGCAATTCCGTCGTCTAAATAAAAATCGACACAACAACAACTAAAAAAAAAGGAAATTAAAAAAAAAAAAACCCATAAATTTTACCAAATAAAATGAGAAAAACTAATTGAAGAAAATGTTTGGAAAACCCAAGAGACGAAGGAAAAGCAGAAAAGATACGAATACGATCCACGGAATCAGTGATACAGAAGATTTGTAGATTACTTTTTCGATTCAGTGAAGCACTGAAGTGCGCGAATATCAGGTGGAGCCAATGCCAATTGCCAAGACCCACCATCCTAAACCTTAAATTCCGATTCTTAATTATCATTTACACTGTAATTTCCATGGATTAGCCCACATTTCTTCCGGGCTTAGCCCACATATATTGACTGGATGGATTAGTATCTCATTCTCAACTACAAAAGTTCAATGTGTACCGTAGACGTTGACTACTTAAATAGTAATTTTTTTTTATTAAAAATAAGAAATTTTAACTTTTGAGTTATATGGAATGTAAGTGAGAAAAAAAAAAGGCCTATTATAATTGTATCAGTAATTAAAAATTTTAGTGTTTATATTAAATTTTTTTTTTTTGTGTTATTGGTCGCACAACGGGAGGGCCTTTTCCATCCCTTTATTCCAAGGTTTTTAAAACTGGATTGGTCATTGGACCGTTTTTAGGTCTGATTTTTGGTTTAATTGGTTTAATTGGTTGAATTGATGAACCGATCGATCCAAACAGCAAGGAAGATTTGATGAGAGGAGCAAGCTGCAAGCATAGATTTTTTAATTTGGTGTTGATAATTTTGTAATTTTGTTAAAATTAAAGGTTAAAATGGGTATAAGAAAGGAATGGGAATGGTGAAATTAGAAAAAATTGAAAGAAGATTGCATGAGAAATCGAATCGGTGGTTTTTTCGATTCCATCGATTCCACCGGTTTTCATTGGTTTTCATCGGTTTTTATCGGTTTTGATCGATTTTGACATCAAACGGTTTTCTTATGTAGACCAAACCATTTTCATCACCGAGTATCGGTTCGACTGGTTCAACCAACCGATCCGATCCGATTTTAAAAACCTTGCTTTATTCTACCTCACTCGCATATAGACCTGGCAAACGGGCGGGTTGGGTTAGGTTAGGGTCGGGTCAGAACGGGTAACGGGTCAAAATGGGTTGGGTTAAAACGGGTCACAGGTCAATGAAGGCAGAGCCTAACCCGTCCATCACGGGTCACGGGTCAACCCGCTGGTTGACCCAATTAATTTTTTTTTCTTTTTTTCTTTGTAATTTGTACCTATTACAATTTAAATTATTTTGGATGGTTGATTGGTTTCACAATCCAAAAATTAACATTCAAATACCACCAAAATTGTAGAAAAAATGAGCAGAAAATGCA